CTAAGAAAAGCCAAGCTTCGCCACTAATTAGAGATAAGAAAGGGTTGAAAAGCTACATTTTAGGTCTTCTCTAACAATGAATCAGATATAATATTAATCCACTAGAGGTCTGGTACACGAAATTTGTGACAGGGTGGAGTGTCCCTCAGCTTGGCCTACACCCTCCCCAATATGGGACATCCCTTTTGCAATCCAGAACCACTGGCTCCTAACTGCTAGCCTGCCTGTCTGCCTGCCTGATAGCCCCTAACCACTCTGCCTGCTAGCCTGATGTCCCTAACTGCTTCCCTACCAGCCTGATCACCCCCAACTGCCGCTGCTTGCTGACCTAATCACTCCCTAATTGCCCGACCCTGATGGCTTAATCATCACTAACCTCCTCTGCCTCAGCCCAAGCCACTGAGGCTTTGTCCAGAAAGATGTTGGTCTAATTAGCATATTATCCTTTCATTAGTATAGATGGCCCTAAGAAGTTTTCAAAAACTATGCCTGGATTAATTCTAATAGACTTCTTGCAACTCATCATGCTTTGTGGAGAAATATCTATAAGTGTAAATACAATTTGAATTCTATCTCTGACTCTTCTCTAAGCAGAGAGACCTAAAATTTCATTCAATAGAGAAAATGACCTATTCTTATTAGGGGTAAAAGGTATAAAAAAGCAGAAATGCGGGTTCACTACCAAGAGCTGTGCAGAGCAGCCCATCTCTCATCGAGTTCCTATGCTCTCAAAAATAAGTTTTCCTATAACCAGAGGAAGATAAAGAATTATTTGTCCCTGAATAATGAGGATTAGGGTAGGCCAATATTGTAACAAGCTTTCTACAGGGCCCTCCTCAGCAATAATTCTATTTTTTTTGCTGCTATTATTAGTATCACTATTATTTTGTTCCTAGATGGCATAGAATTTTTCTGAAGAATTACCAAATAGCCAGTAGTAATGCCAGTCTCAACTTTGCCCTATACCACCTAAATTTCGCATGGTGCATGCATAAAGACCATAATATCTGTTAGCTGTTTTCTACAAGAACACTTGCCAATAGGTATTTGTGAATTTCATTATAAAAACACCTAAAAGTACTTTGCCAAAGGGAATATAGACATTTGACACAAGATTTGGGGTTGAAAATTTTCCAGTTATAAGGCTAAATTCACTATTCATTATCTTGATAAGTGTCCAGTTTGGGTTGATATTCTACCTTCAGGAAATACCTTCTTAATCTTCTTTCCTTATTAGAATACTAGAGGCCTGGTGCACGAAATTCATGCACAGGATGGAGGGGGGGAGGTTATCCCTCAGCCCAGCCTGCACCCTCTCCAATCTGGGACCCCTCAAGGGATGTCTGACTGCCCATTTAGGCCCGATCCTGGTGGGCAGTCAGACATCCTTCTCACAATCCAGGATTGCTGGCTCTCAACTGCTCACCTGCCTGCCTTCCTGATTGCCCCTAACTGCTTCTGCCTGCCAGCCTGATCACCTCTTAACCACTCCCATGGCAGCCTGATTGATGTCTAACTGCTCCCCTGCCAGCCTGTTTGCCACCAACTTCCCTCCTCTGCCAGCCCAGTCACCCCTAACTGCCCTCCCCTGCTTGCCTGATTGTCCACAGTTGCCCTCCCCTGCCGGCCTTCTTGTAGTGGCCATCTTGTGTCCACATGGGAGCAGGAACTTTGACCACATGGGGGCAGCCATCTTGTGTGCTGGAGTGATGGCCAATCTGCATATTACTCTTTTATTAGATAAGATAGAGGCCTGGTACATGGGTGGGGACAGCTGGTTTGCCCTGAAGGGTGTCCCGGATCAGGGTAAGGGTTCCCTTGGGGTGTGGGATGGTCTGGGTGAGGGGTCTGTGGTGGTTTGCAGGCTGACCATGCCCTCCAAAGACCTAAGTGGAGGCCCTGGTATCTAGAATTTATTTATCTTCTACAATTGAAACTATGTAGCCTGGAGTGGAGCCAAGCTTCCTGCTGGTTTCATGGCTGCAGCCATTTCTGTTTGGATTTGTTTACCTTCTATAATTGAAACTTTGTAGCCTTGAGTGGAGGTTCAGGCTGGTAAGGGCAGGTGGAAAGCTTTTTTCCTCCATGGTTTGGGAAACCCAGGCTTCCCTCCTGCTCTCTGTGGCCATAGCCATCTTGGTTGGGTTTATTTGCATACTCACTCTGATTGGCTTGTGGGTGTGGCTTGTGGGTGTAGTGATTAATTAGTGGTGATTAATTTGCATATTACTCTTTTATTAGGTAGGATTATTTTTTAAAAGAGAACTTAAAAAAAAAAAACACACCACAATACCTTGAAAGTTATTTGATGCTGGAATAATACCAAGTTCTTTAACAATAGCAAAGCTAATATAATAAAAGCCATCAGGTTTGGGATATTTTATGAAAATGTTTAATTCAACTGTTTCTTTGGAATGTAGTAGTCATAGTTTGGAATTTAAGTTACAGTTCAGTTCTATGCAGTTTTTATACTACTCAGTGTCTGAGAATACAAATGTCAGTTAAAGTTAAGGCTTCGCTGTTCATTTTGAAACAACAATTTACAAGTGTCATACTGTCATAGAAAATAAAAATTTCTGTAAAAAAAACGCACAAAATTTTGTGATGGTACAAAACACGAAGCAGTAATATACCAGTAAAATGAAAACATTTTACTATAGGAGGTTTTATAGACTTCAATAAAGAAAAAATACGTTATTTTACACCTTTAAAAATTACGAAACAACCTAAAACAATATAAACTGGACACTTTATAACACTGACTTTACAAATTAATAACTCTATAAACATATAATTTTTAAATATATTTATCAGTGCAAGATACTTTAAAATTTAAAGTCTCAGTATCATTTTTCCTTGGCTGAGAACAACTTTAAATTCATTGCCTTAAAAAAAAATTAAGTCTTAGTGCTTTTGTTCTGGTATGATTAAAACAAATGAATAAATGCCTCTGGGGACAAAAATCCATTCTTCTTTTATAGTGATCAATACTTTCCTGGAAACTAAATGCATTCTCAATCCAATTAAGCCAAGATGAATGGACTGTCTCCTCCATGATACAAATGTGATTCCCACAAATATTTCTGAGTGAGCCCTGTAGCAATGCAGAAAGGGAGGAAGATCTCAAAGTTCTATGTACAATGATCCATGACCAAAAATAGAGTGAAAACAACCAAAGCTTCTTTGGATTAATTCATATGCTGCTTGATAAGATATTACTTCTTTGAGCTATCAGAAGTATACCTACCAGTCTCAAGACAGGCTTTTTTTTTTTTTTTTTTTTTTTTTTTTTTTTTTTTTTTTTTTTTTGTGAGCAATTGAAAGTTTCTGGAAGCATTCACTCAAGCCTTTGTTTTCTCCGAGTTACTGCTGAAGGGATTTTTAAAAACATTTGTTTTGACTTTATTCATTTTTATTCCCTCTTCTTATCTAAAAATATTTTACCATCAGGCACCAGGATTTCTAGCCTCTTTCTTAAATTAATTGTTCTTTTTTCACTTTCCTTGTCTTATCTAATACCCAAACAGGAAGGTTTTCATGGATCATTTCTGCATATTTGGATGTAAAAGCTAAGGTGTTGGATATTAGAAGAATTGTATCCAGTCCTTCCTTTGGGTCTCACTTGAAAGCCAATTAATATAATTTCTTCTCTCAATTTACCATTATTTCTACTAAATGCAAACATTTCTATCAAAGATTATTTTGATTGGAATAGATATAAATGGCTCAAGGAAAAAAGATACTGTCACTTTAACCAGTTAACAAAAAAACCAAAGTTAGACTTTGGAGGGCTGTGTTAGGAATTTCCCTTATTTATTTATTTATTTATTTATTTATTTATTTATTTTCTTACTTACTTATTTTTAAGCATAAAGTCCAGTAAAATTCTTTGCCATTACCAGCAGGTTAAAGCTGCAAGTTTCTTTTCTGGACAATGGCAAATGCTTCAATTTTAAGAGAGAAAAGACAGAGAGATAGGAGAGAAAGAGTTTACATTTGAAAATACATTCCATATGAAAGAACAGTAGGAGAGAATATTGCAGCTTTATACAAAAGGATCAAGAGACATGAAATTGAACTACAGAAAAAACAGAAGAATTAAGCCACGTTGCCAAATCTTCCCAGCCCTTGCTTTTCGGGGGTTGGGGGAGAGGCTGACATCTTACACTAAAATATACTTTCTTTTTAGTCAGTGGGTCACCAGGGTTTGATTCAAGTTGGGCTTTCACCATTGAAGAACAGAGCGGGTCATTAATGGAACACAAAGCGAACCAGTACAAACAAAAAGGCACTTGAGAGGACATGGACTAGCCAGTGCCGTGGATTTCCCTTGTGGTTGTTGGCAGCACGCCAAATTGCCAGCAGTGTCTGGTGATGGCAGTTTTCTGTATGGAGTTCACAAGCACGAGGTTTAGTACAACACTGAAAATATCTAGGAAATTTGACGGTATTGCTTCATAAACAGAGGTGACACACTATACTGATACTGAAGCTACAGTACTTTAAAGCAAAACCCTAATCCTCCTTTGCCTGTGCACAACGTAGGTGATTATACACAGGTACAGCTTCAGGAGTCCACTGAAATGCAGGTATTCTAATATACTGTGGGCATGGGCTACAGGTAGCATGTTCGTCAAAAGGGCCCCAGGGAATACACTTGGCACCAGCATCTTGGATTTTGCACAGTTTCAGAAAAGTATCCATAAAAAGAAGAGGAGAGAGGGGGAAGGGGAATCAAAACGAATTATTAAGTCAATCATACTTGGTCTCAACACCAGCATCTGATGATTCAAATTAAACCAACAGAAAAAAGCTGACTGTACATGATTCCGATTGTTAATACAGCTAACTTGTTCATGTCTGTTGGCCATACTCATTGAAACTCCTGAGAAAAGCCTGGCTCAGCGTCATCGACGCATTTTCCAGCCTGTACAGTGAAAGATCAACACACTCAAGTTATGTCCTTCACCTCAATTCTCTGTCTTTTCATCTGTCTGCCTTCATGCCTCTGAATAAGTATTCTGTGTGTTCAGTTTGTCTTTTTTCAACTTCACACCATCCACAAGTTCAAAGTTATAGTTCTCCAGGGCAGATAAGTTTCTTTCTGACATTCCATTATGCCAACAAGCACAGTACAGCACGACCCCACAGACAGCACCCAGGAGGACACCCAGGGCGCTCATGGCTATGATGGTGATGAGGATGGGGTCCAAGGTCTTCAGCACATTGCCTGGCTTCTTGGAGATGTTCTCATCACCTTCTCCCAGGCCCTCATATCCTGGAGTGCTCCCTAGGGAGAAAAACAAAATTGGATCTATAAGCACTGTCAACATATCACATGGAAGTAGACAGAAAAATAGAGAAAAGGACAGAAAAAGGAGAAAATCGCACGTTTATTTTGCCTGTGCTTGCCCCAGAGCCTGTGGGAGATCTCTGAATTGGGGTTTGGCTCCCTCAGTGCTTGGAAACAGCCAGGTTTGTGTTTGACTCATTGCTGGGAATGGAGATGTGGAAGGCGAGGGAGCTGGGACTCGGTCAGCTAGCCTAGCACATGGAAACAACCAATTCTGGGTAAACAGTGGGGTTTACTTCTAATGTAATTTAGCTTTCATGCAACCCACCAGCTGTGCTAGATTGTAATCTGTGATTTTAGTACTTGGCCAGATATAGTCATTAAGCTTTGCAAAATGCTTAGTCACACATTTGTCTGGCGGAGGATTTATCCTTTCCCTGTGTATTCGCCTCATCCCCGCCCAGAAACGAGGAAACCTCCCAAGCTGCCCTTTCATGGGGTGCTGTGTCCAGTGCCTGGAATGGTTTACACAGTGTTTATTCTCCCACATGGAGATCTTCGATTCAGGGAAGTTTCTCCCAAGTCTACAATGATTTCTCTTAAGAAAAAGAGATCTTGCAGATCAAGAGAATGCTTGCTGTTGACATTAAAAACAGGCCATGGCTCCTATCTAGAAACTGTGTTTGTGCAGTGCCGAATAGAAACCATTTAGTAATCAGCATCTTTGCAGCCCTGGGGTTTCCCTAGAGACAGTCATACTTCCCTGCAGTTTAGTCCCTGGAGAAATGTTTTCTCTAGAGCAAAACATGAGAGCTTATGAATATGGGAACTTTGATCCTAATTACCTGGTACTAGAAATGAGACTAAAGTGTTAATGTGCAACATGCAAGGTGTTTACTTAGGGGTGTTTGGATCAACAAAGATTCCAGTCAAAGAAAACCTAATATGTGAGATGCAAGTCCCTAAATGGGGGAAAACAACCCATGGTAAAACTTTAGTTTGGAACAACTTTAGTAATGTCTACATCTCAGAACAGGCTATGTAGCTAAGCTAAATGAGCCATGTATCTCAGTCAAGTTCAAGTCTGGCTGTGGTCGGACCACGTTAACAGCAACAGATGCTGATGCTAATGGGCAGGGCTGGGACAAGTGTCCAATGACTCAAAACTGCTGGCTGAGGTGTAGAAACTTATAGAAATAAAATAACATCAGGCAAGGCCTAACTCTGATCAAATGTCAAATTGGATCACCAACCAGTGTCCAAAGAAAACACATTTTCAAGGTAATCAATCTCAAGTCAGATGCAACCACCTAAATAGCAATGCTACTTAAGGGAAGTCACTGCCCTGAATTTCAGTCTCCTCATCTGGAAAATGTACCTCAGAGGAAGAAGATAACAGTGAGGAGGAAAGAGATCATCTATGCAATAAGTAAAGTGCTTGGGACATTCTAGCTCCTCAATAAATCCTTGTCATTGCCATCATCATCATCATCATCATCACCACAAAATTAGGGTTCCAGTAGATGAGGATTGGAACATATGCACCAAACTCAACAAATTGTTGCAGACACTGGGCTCCAGCCCTTTAAAGACCATATCTGGATACCAACCAGACCCAAGTATTTGGGTTGGTTTCAAATTACAGTATAAAGATTACTGTAGATCTTAGGTATATCACAGTCCTCACTAGTTTTCTATTTCCATGGTTATCAAATAAGACTGGTTCTCTAAGTTCTCTTTCAGCTCATAGAGGAAAGGCCATGGCTGGCATTCTTCCCCACAGCCCAACCACTTACACAATCCTCAGGATTTCATGGCAGCTTAAATTGGATTGTTACAGAAAGTTTCCCTAAAAATAAAATGAAAGCCATAGAAAAATATTTTAAAAATTGGTCAAGAAGATACATTTACCTGTTTCGTCAATTTTATTTTCTGGATTCTTTTTATCCAGATCTGCTTGTCCTGACAAGTCAAACAAAAAAGAGATATTTGAATTGCCAACAAAATACAATCACACAAGTGCAGAAACCTTACACAAACATACACGTGTGCACACACACAGACACATACACGCACATACACACACATTCATGGTTCAACTAGGTTTCTTTTGGATTTTTATTCACTGCTTTTTTCATTTCCTCCAATGTTTTCAACAGACCCTATTAAATCACTGCTGCTTTAGGTATTGTGTATATTCAATATATAATATTATATAATGAAAACTTTTGTAAATTGCTGAAGTGACCAAAATCCCAAAAGGCCTCTTTTGTCTTAATTCACCCAATAGGGTCATTCCATTTTGTTACAATTAACATCATATTACATAATAATATATAACAGAAGTTTAAGTGTAACAAATGTAGCTTAATACTAATTACTGTGCTATTACATTATCATTAGTGATGCTATATTAAGAACCAGGGCATATGAATTAAGATTTCTGTCAGATTTTTATCATATATGTCCTACCTAATAAAAGAGAAACATGCAAAAGAGAAACATGCAAATTGACTGCAACTTTGCTATGCCCATAAGTCCCGCCCACCAGCCAATCAGAGTGAGTATGCAAATTAACCAACATGTTGGTTAATTTGCATATCCAGGCCAAAGCGAAGACTGAAGACAGCATAGAAAGAAACCAAGTGCTGCAGAAGGGAGCGAAGCTATGGAGAAGCAAGTGGGGCAATGGAGAAGGGAGGAAAGCAGGTGGGGCGGGGAGAAGAGAAGGAAGCAGGTGGGGCAACAACCGCAGCAGAAAGCTTTATTGCAGGAATCTTCTTGCAATGAGCCATATATAAATATATATATATATTTATCAGACCAAAAAAAACATAAACTCTGAAATACTAGGCAAAATTTCTAAATATAATATATTCTTTTGAATCACTTTAAATATTTTAAGAGTCAGTAATATCTACTTATTTGTAATAAAACAAAGAATTATGGCTTCTATGATTATTAACAATGTAATTATAAATTCACTGTGATCAACATTTTCAAAGGCCTGCTGTTTTGTTTATGCATCAAATATTTAGAATTATACAGATGTCTGATTTTTCTGCTTTTCACCAAAGTGTTTTAGTATGGCACATATATAGCCTGTAAATTGAGAATTTTTTTTTCTTTATTATTATCTTTGGAATCCACATCATCACATATATAGTTTTATAAGTACCATCCAGACATTCTAAAAATGAAGAGTAGGTAATAGGGTAGCTAAAGGAAAACTATCCTGATTTTTGCCCTGTTGCACTAAATTATTCATTTCACATGATAGTCTCATAGTTAACAGTGAAATTCCAGGTGTAGATGAATAAGACAAAGATGATCTCATGCCAAGATCCTATCCTTGGTTTCTATAGAACTTGTACTTACTTGCGCAATCCTCTTGTGAAATGTGGTTGTTAATACTAATGTCATCCACTGCAATCCCACCAAGGTTTCCTTTGCCAATTTCACCCTCAAAAATCACCTAACAAAATGAGATAATTTTTACAGTTATTTAAATATTCAGTCCTAAACAGCAGTGTTTACAAATGCTTGTTCAGCTTAAGCTATAGAACATAAATAAAATTCATGAGATTTCCCATAAGCACATGCTTTGCTCATCAATCCATTATTAACTGCCTGGTGATGGCATTAAACTCCTCACACTCTTTTTATAATACAAAACTTAAAACTGAAAGAGGCAGGAAATAAAAGGAATGTTCATTGTTATAGCCCCATTATAAAGTAACATTTTTGTTCCTTTATCAGATAATTGATTCTATTCCTGTAATGTAGGAGACTGAAATATGCTGCTGAGATTATTATTATTGCAGCAATATCTCAAGTTCAGGAAAATCCTGAAATAATTTTGAGAATGATTCTGACATGTCATTGATAACCTTCAAAATATTAACCCCATGTCCCTGAAGCAGCAGCCCTCCCTATTGGGGGAAGGCGTTTACCTGGTAAAGTTTCAGAGACTTGTGGAGCAGGACACGTCCTTCCTTCCAGTGGTCTCCTTGGTGCCCAATGGCTCTCCAGACCAGCTGGTCATATTCTTCCGGTTTCTGGTAGCGCAGCTTGACTCTTAGTGTGCCCACTTGGAAACCAGACATGTGATACCAGAAGGTCAAACAGTGGGCGGAGTTCTGGGAATAAACCACGGGGCTCACCAAACGAGCCACTTTGCCTTTCTGATTTTCATCAGCTTGGGAGTAGATGAAGTTGCCATCTCCTGCTAGGACAGAAAACTGTGTTAGGGAGAGTGCCCACATTTATGATTCCTTTGTCTTTTTTTTTTTTTTTTTTTTAACTTCCATCACTCAGACTCACTCCTGAGCTGAGCACCAAGAACCCAAACTTGCTTTGCAGTGGAAAGAGGATGGAGTGCAGTTGTTGGGGACCCAAGGTTCGGCTCTGAGCTGCAATAAATGGGCATATGATTGGGGGAAGGCTGCAAAGCAACATTTAGATGCTGCTCATTAGGGATGCGTTGGCATAGGGACACAGGCTGTGACTCAGGGCGCCCGGGCAGATCTATTTTCGTGCAACTTTAAGATTGCTTCAGCAGAACCTGTGTGAACACAAACATTAAGTGGAATAACTTAGATGTGTTCTTATTTATCACTAGAGGCTCAGTGAACAAAATTCGCACTTGGGTAGGGTTCCTAGCTGCTGTCCACTGTGAGATGCAAGCTGGGATCTCCCTTTCCCCAGCTGCCAGTAGGGGCAGGGCCAGCCAGGGGGAGGGGCCATGGGCGGTTAGCGGGCTGGCCCTGCTTCCTGGCTGAACTCCCAGTCAAACTCCCAATTGAACTCCAGGTTGAGGGGACAATTTGCATATTAAGCTTTTATTATATAAGTCTCAAGCAGCAGGACTTCTGGTTGATGATACTTTGGTCACTATAATTGCTTGCTAATAAGAAAACTGCATTTCCCCCCCAAATAATCTAGTGACTTTCCCCCCAAATTCAGATAATTTTTCCCTAATTTATTTTAATGGCTTATAAATTCCTGAAATAAACCCAAGAGCTTGGGTCTCAACTGTGATTCAGCCTCCTTTATGATGAGAACGTTTGGTTCAAGGAAAGGAAAGGTTGCATTATCGAGGCTTTATTAGAATGTGACATTTTGGCAACATAGACACTTGCGGAGCTGTGAGGACTTACTCTAGGCTTTGCTTTTAATTATTCTCAGTGGGAACATTTCCTTTTGCCACCATCTGGTCTAACACACAAGTCATGTTTCACTGTTTGCTCTGCAAATAGAAATTGCCTCCTTTATGCCTCACCTGATGTATGTGTGAATCTGATGCTCGGGGCCTCAGTGGGCAGAAAGGTGTTTGTTTGCTGTCCCAGAGGCTTGTGCATTTGTGAGGCAATTTTCTCTGTGCACATAGATTCTCCTATCTGCTTGTCTGTGTCAACAGTGTCCGGGGAAGTGAGTAAGGGTAGCTTTCCTCCTTCACTTGGGGGCTTATCTGAGATAGCACTGGAAGGAGCACATTAATGAAACCCATGGGTGGAATAATAAAAGGAGGGAGCAGATAAAAACCACAGCTCCAGGATTATGTTTATGCTCGCAGTGATTGTGAGGGTCCCCTGTGACCAGCTGACTAAGTCCCCCCTGGGGTTTCTCTTATTTGACTAAATTACCAAGTGGCAGTGCCCGTCTTGAAGACAATGCCATTTCACTGAGAGGAATAGTGGATCAGTCCACCAAGATGGACCGATAACATGTAGACAACACACCCATCTTGTCTCACCAACCCTCAGTCTTATGAAAAAAAAAAACACACACACACACACAAAAAAACACCACACCCTGGAGTTGGAAATCGGCAGAGAGGAAAGACATTTATTGATTTCATGGAATTGATCTGGGCAATTCCTAGAATAGGCAGAAAACAGAAGGAGAAAATCTGTCAGGGGTGGAAGGAGGAAGGCTGAGCAATCTGCTGTGGTCTTGGCCTGGATGCCATTGTAGACAGAAAATTCTGCTCATGTCACTTTTTGATTTAAAATGCCTCCTTGGCTCCTCACTGCCTTTAGCCCAGCTCTAACCTCTTCACATGAGAATCTGTCTGAAGCACACCACTGGCAATCCACTGACACAGCCCCCACTCCTCCACAGCTCTGTACATGTCATTCCTTATTCAAACCAAGCTTACACTGTCTGTGGGGCAGGCCTGTTTCCTCTGACCCCTCCTGTCTTATCTTTCACCATCATGATCTTTGGCATAGGGCACCCTCATTCCTCTGCACTCTGATTGTTTCCACCCCTACACTGACTATGAGCTCTTCAAGGGCAAGGCTACTCTTCGTTAGATGTGCATCTCAAATGCTCAACACAGCATTTGCCATGTAACAACGGGTCTATTCAAATTCCATGTGTTCAGTGAACCAGGTAAAGATGCTGGGCTTCAGGAATCCTCTCTGAGGAGGTGTATAGTTTCATCCTTACAGGCCAGATGCAGAAAAGCAAGTGAGATTCCTTTAACTAAATGCAAAAGTAAGTAGTTGGAGGAGATTGTATCTAGATAGTGTTGATTTAGAAACAATCTCCATGTCTGGTTTGCAAAGTTCCCCATCCTGTGTCATGGCAGTCTGTGTTCATGTGTGCTGTGCAGGGCTCCTTCACCTGCATTTTCTCACATGAACAAACTCCTGCCTTTCAAAGATTAGGCTCACACTTCACTCTCTGCAAATGATTGTTTTTTTGTGCTATGGAGGCTAGACAGCCAAGTAAATCTGGGTGTCTGAGAGAACAATAAGCACAGATCCTCCTGAAGAAAACACATTTCTCTGCTGTTAATCTAAGACAAGCCCTCCTGTTCTGATGTTCATCACATAAAATACTGATATTTTTCCATTCAGGGGTTTTATCACAGTTCTAGGTCAGGAACTCTGCCATCATTTTCTCAATTAGTGATTTACTTCTGCAAGCCTTTTAGCTTTTGTCTCTGGCTAACATTGTTTTTAACTTTCGAATGTCAGATCCTACTGAGCCATTTTGCTCTACTTTGCATCAATTTTCCCACCATTACTGCCCTCATTCCAGCTAATTGCATTTGGTTAATTTGATGCCATTTATATGTACAATCAAAGTATTTTAAGTTTTCTAAAACGGCTTGTCTTAAGATTCAATTGAAAGTATTTCAGAATTGAAGGAGTCCAATTTTATCCAATTTCCTTGTCATTCTCATTAGGCAGAGAGCTAGCTGTGGTGGAAGGAGGCCTATTCAACCTACTTAATGGTTACATTCATCAGAGGTGGGGAGTTATGGGGGAGAGTGAACAACAAAATGGGAAAGGCATGAAGTACCCTCTGCCCATCCATCAGCCCACTGACCTACGTGCCCAAAGCACCAGCTTGGGGAAAACTGCTTAATGAGATTTCTCAGCAATAGCAAATGCCCTTTTGGAGAATCTTTGGGAAGCCACTACTTGAGTAAGCAGGCCTATAAGCATTGGAGTAAGGTATATGTTTGTGGGTTGGGCGTTCCTGATGAGTGTGTGTATGTGTGTTTTTTGTAGGGCACTGCTGGCTCTTTATACCAAGGTGGGTGATGAAATTACTATGAGGGAAACAGGTGGTGGTAGATAGAAAAACTCACTGGGGTTGCTGTCAGTTTCTTTCCTCCTCCAACCAATTAATGTTAGAAGGAAAGTAAGACAGGTGGTGGGGTAGCTTGTGACCAGGGATTTGATGTGGTTTCTACCTCCTCAGATTTAAAATCTTCTCCAAAAGAGTAAGAACCCCTCCCTACTTAGATCCACTTTCATTTCAAGGGTCCAGAAAGAGCAAGCATAAAGGTCACTTATTGTTTATTCAGCTGTGTAAATACACGAGAGGGCAAATATATGTCTGGACTTGTTTCAAAATAGTCCAGAGTCAGGGATAATAGAGATAAAGTAAGATTCCTATGATTTGATAATTTTTGAAGTTGGATTGCATACATTTAGAGTTTGTTACTATGTCTTTATACTTTTAAATATGTTGACATTTTCCATCAAAAAAGCTCTTAAAAAAGTGTTAAAAAGGTACTAATTCACATGATTTTGCCCAGTTTGTTGTTTTTCAGGAGGTCAATCAGTTGCCAAATTTAATCGGCATTTTCTGCTATTAATTGTAGCTCTGTTAGGGAAAGAGGTCTTGTTAATTCCAGGAACAAAAGCATAAGTGAACGCTCTGCAGTATTTCTGTGCCCCTAGAGTAACAGATCCCAATAACTCTCCACAGTAACCCTTAATTCAAAGAAATGAGGCCACAGTGAACTCTCAGTACCTGTGTGATCCTGGATTGGTCCCGTTTTGCTGGTCAGCACACTCCATTTGAGTTGCACATGATTGTCATGTTCCCAGTGACAGAATGTCTTATGAGATCCCCAGCCAAATTCACAGTTAAAACCATATGTTGGAAACTCTTCAATGGGTAGAAAGGAAAAATAGAGACAAACAGAGAAAGACAGATATAATTATTTAGATCAGAAAGGCCCTTAATTTGTTCATGGAAAGCACAATTTATACAACTTAACATCGGTTGAAAACTCTGGGAAAGCCACAAAATCTAAAATTACCAGGAAACTCAAAAGATGCACAGAGATGTCAAAACATTTGCAAAATGACGTTTAGTAACTTTTTAAATCCAGCTTTATAAAAAAAATGATGGGCTGTCTGTCAAATTGGTTTTACATGAAATTTCTAGGAAGGTTACTTTCCAAAGCATGTATGTTATGTCTGTAGGTAGCATTCTCCCTATTTCTGCAATATTTAATATAAAAGTATTTTTGTTTGTGAGGATGGGATATATAAATTGATACTCACTAATTAAAAGAATCTTAGATATTGGTCCAGGAATGTGGACCAAGTCTAGAAATGTAGCAGGTGAATGCCTCATCCTGGAGGCTATTTGTATTCTCACCACAGCAGCTAATGCTTCTGGTCTTTAGTGTCAGATCTCTGAAGCACATCTTAAGATTTTTTTCTTCTTCTGTGCTGTTTTATATCAGGTAAATTAATTTTAAGTGCAGTTTCTGCTTTTTCAGTGAACTTTAAAATTTGCATATAAATTGTTCATCCACTTAAAAACCTCAGGGCAAGGTCATGTAAAAACCAAGGCACATTTAAATAACTGCCAGTTTTTATTTTTTATTTTCTTTAATCCTCAGCTGAGAATATGCTTTTTAATTTTTATTAATTTTAGAAAGAGAGGGAGAGAAAAACATCTATTAGTTACTTCCCCTTCCTGCCCCAAGCTGCCCCTACTAGGGATTGAGCCTACTTGGGCAAGTGCCTTGACTGGGAATTGAATCTGAAACCTTTCGAGTGTACGGGATGACACTAACCAATGAACCACATTAGCCAGGAAAGTTTCTTATATTTTGAATCTTCCAAACGCTTCCCTTGGGATCTGAAATTAAAGTATGGGTGGATTCTCAGGAATTATTTCTCTTGTGTGTTTTACAGAGTACTATAGTATTTTCTTAAATTCTTTTATTTACTCCACCCTCCTTTTGAAAATAACTTGAGTTTTAAGCATGGAAAATAATAAAATCATTGATGCTTAGAATTATTTTGGTAAAATGAATCCTAAAGATAAAATGCTCATCCTGTCAGTTCCAGACCTCCCAGTTAAAATGAAAGAAACACAAAGCCGCCTGTTTTGCCCATAGGATGGGGACAGTGCTCCTCACTGAGATTAGGCAGTCCACAAGATGGCAGCATTGAAACAGAGAGAAATACACTTAGGGCCACTTGCCCACTGAACTTAATGTTTCAAAACCATCCCAGTGTGCAATAAGGGAAGAGTGGTATTATCTGCTGTTTTCGGGGACAACACATAACAGACTGAGAGCATATCTTGTTTTGATCTTTTCTTTAATTTTACCAAAGTATTTAATACAAAACATTTTTTTTTTCTTTGAGCTTGGCTCCATGGCTCCTCCATAATTTTAACAATGGGACGAGGAATTTTAATGGAAAGATTTCTTGAATAGATAAGAATGATTTTCATTGCACTTTTAGTTTCCAAGGAACTCTTTCCAAATGCTAATGTACATTTTTGGAAAACATTCACTATATGAATTGTTAAATTGAGAAAGATAGAATCATGTTTTCAATGGCAATGTGACCTCTCAAAGCATGCATAAGTAGAGCCAGTGTGAAACAGTAAAGTAGTAAGTGATGTGTATAACATGAACACTTTCAGTTAGTGCAAAAGGGCTACACTTCACAGCCACAGTGTTGTTGGAGAGCTGTATTTCATGTCTAATGTATCAAAACCATGAAATGAGACTTCTAAGAGCCTGAGAAACCTTTTCCAAAATGTACCACACTTGTGCAGGCAAGGTCATGCAGATGAAGTAAAGTAAACTGAACAATGACTGAATGAACAATCTTGGATGTCAACCACCACAACCCAGGAATGTACATAATCTCATATTAGAAAATGTTAATACTGAAAAATGTTAATGCATATATGAATTTGTATTTTCTCCTTAAATGTAGTTTATAAGACAAGCATTTACAGGAGGGCAGCAAGCTACTGTAAGACACACATTTCTTGTTATATTTATCTGGTTAATACATTAAATTTATTGTATAATACAGAAAACCACATTACTCATTATTTTGGCTCTCAATATTCTGGTGATATCATAAATATATGAACTTGGGTGTTTTTGCATGGACATGGGACAGCTTTGCCTGAAAAGATGGTTTAGGCATTTCTCCTGCTGCAGTGAATGGCAGTTCACCTTGACTTTCCAATATTCTTTCTAGTTCTATGAATCTAACATGATGAATTGCTCTAACAGTTTGATTTTACTACTCTTTTATGTTCTTGTCCTGATTATATAGCTTTCTTTTGTTAATTTTGATTATTTAAAATAAAAATTTTGAAAATCTATGCATTTTGTAGGGAAAGGTAAGAGTAAGAGTAGCTCAGTGTTGAAAATTCAAGCCTAGGTAGAAAGGCTATTAAACACACAAAATACACATAAACATTTATAGAAATGAAAAAGTAAAAAAAAAAAACGGAGAAAGAAAAACAGAGGAGGAGAAAAGAACTGAGAAAGAGGAAAAAGCAACAGATGAATGAAATAAATGTATAGGACTATTGATCTTTAAATCTTTAAGGTATTACCTAATTCTTGTTAAATTCATTGGGAATAATCTGGCTAAATTCTTTCTTGACTCTTAAAATAGCAGGAAACAGTATTCTGAACTTAAAACAAATTTATAGTCACTGTGAGCACTCACTAGTGGTACTTGTTGAACCTATCTTGACCACAGTGGAATCATTAGCACCATACATGCACAAGGATTTAATTTTTAAATCTAAATTTCTAGGGAGTGTTTTAACTTGCTTACTTATAGGCCAGATGTATGGTACAAACAAGTGGAGAAGCTGAGCCCATGTAATCAGAAGTTATGAATATACTCTAATCTGCTTTAGGGATGTTTGAAGATCCTCAGAAGGTAAAAGGTTTCATGAGAGGGAGCTGGATTTAAAATGCAGAATTTTTATGAATTCCTGTTAGAGAATTAATAGACTTTTATGCATCTGGTTATAACCCAGACATCATATAAATAATGTATGTCCACTGAGTTTATTATATTGATAAGAATTCTTAAAATGAAATCTCAAGACTCTTTATACTGGCCTCATCAAATTCAGATTATAATGAGAGGTTAGGGCTCTGATTTTCTACTGCTTGTAAAGTCACCTGAAGAATCTGAAGCCTGCAGAACAATGTGGACCTGACCCCTGGGGAGTTTGACCTGGCCTCTGACTAACACTCTCAGGTCCTTGTGGAGCATTCTGAACATGCACAGAGCTCCCCCCAAAACACCAGATATCCATTATCCACAGTCAAAGACTTGCTTATTATTTTATTCAGGCAATAGAAAAACAGGAAACCAGGGTGATTTGTAAAGGACTCTGGGCAGACCCTGGAATTCACAACTGGACCCTATCAGTAAACTCTGGCTTGACATGAACTTCTAATAATGGTCTATCTGACTCATCATTTGCACATCTGCTCTCTGACTAGAGTAGATTCTGTGATATGACTGTCTGGCCCTGGAACTCCTCTGGGAAGCCTTCACACCAATGACCTTGAGCTCATGCACAAATCAAGTGTGTTCACAAAGTCATTCCTGCTCTGACAATATAGGGAGAATGACCCAATTTGGGGATCTGATTTATCTTTCTGTTTTCTTTGCAGTTGTCATTCTCTTTCATTTTGTTAATGATCCCTAGCTCTTTTGATAGGCAAGAGGAGAGATAAAACAGTTCATTGGCAATATCATAGTGGTTTTAATTCATTCTCTGGCAAAAGAAGAAACTAAAATAACAGTTAAAGTGTTTGCTTCATCATTAGAACTTCATTTTTTTCACCTCACCCCTCTTCTCTACTATTGAGTCAAAAAGACCCAACTGGTGGTTGTTCCACAGAAAACCACCCTGAAGGTGTAAAGGTTCTCAGGAAAGGAAGGGAGCAAGCAAGAGGCCATGCTTCACTCATGAGGCAGTTTCAGCCATTCCAGGTTGCTACACAATCCATTAAGGCCATGTTTTATAACATGAAAAGATGTGGGTAAAACTACAGTTTTTTTTGGAATTTTTTTGTGAACATATTATTCTTCTCTTTCATCTTTTGGTATTTGGGTTGTTTGAACTGAGCGGTAGAAGGCTTTTGGCAACCTGAGTACACTACAGGAAACTTGGTGCTAAGTCTAACTGAAGAGAAGTTTATTTTGCAGTTTAATCAGGTCAACAGTGATAAGGACCTTTAAGGAAGCATACTAATTAGAACAATCCTTTATACTCTCTACCTAGCTGGGTAGTGTCATAGTGCTGAGGAAACACTGATATATACCACATGCCCCATTAATAAATGACTGTGGAGGTGAAGCCTGAGTGAGCTTCTATAAAGGAAATGGGAGAAACTGGAACGCTGACCTGTTCACCTTACTCTAATGATTAACTTTAAAGTATTTAAAACCTCTGATTGCTTTACACTGTCTGTTTTCCTCTGTGTGGATCTGTAGGGAAGAATTCTACAGAATACTAACACAATACAAAGGAGAGTGAGGCCACCTTTTAACTGTGGTTGGCCTTGATAAACAGTAAACTAAGGGCCTTAAAAGTCATTGTGCTTTTCTATTAATAAAAAGATGAGGAGGTGCCGTTCAGGAGGGTGGTCCTCTCCCCACATACAATTAGAACCCTGGCTTCCTATGTCCCATTTCACGGCACACCCACTGGAAATGCTGTTGTAAAACTGCCAACTCTGTGTCAGGCAAAACTGACAAACTTTGCCTGTCTTGATTTTGTAGAATGGTGATGAAAATAGTTAGGCTACTGCTTGTACGACTTCCTTCTTCTGTAGTTTGCAAACACATTCCATGTCCTAGATGTGCTGTGGTTAAACAAAATATGTTAACCCATTTCTTCAGTTGAGAGCTGAGTTGTCACCATTTGGCAATTACTGATTGAGCAGGAAATCTCACTCCCTGTCGCATATACATGTGGATGGAAGGGAGGCAATATTTACGGCTCATGCGTAGAGACCAGATGCTGCATGGCATCTCTTTTCTAGGGCTTTGAGAGAAGCTGAACAGCAATGCTCTATTTTAGAAGACAGGGAGGGAAGACAGGCATATGGGAAATCAACCACATTTTCTATTTTATTTGATACCTGATTGTATGGTGCTGTCTAGTACGGTTGGCTTTTCTGTGGTCAGCACAGTGGTACCACCTGAAAAACAAACACATACAAAAGTGAGAAAAATGAAGCATTGTAGAGAATATGCAGTACAGTAATGTTGTTATGTACATTAGATAGAAAGGAAAACATTTTCCACAGCAAATCCTTCACTTAATCTCAGCTGTAGTCATTATTTTGTTTAAATTTTACTCATCACAATGTCAAGTTCAAATAAACTATTATTTTTTTTTTAACCCAGCACATTTAGTCATAAGACATCCAGGTGGTAGAGAGAGTTTGATACTTCATTCCCTGATTCCTAGACTGAACATGGCATGCCATTGCAACAGTAAAAACAAAGGCCTCCAACTGTCCTCAACAACTGGGGCATTAAACCCGGCCAAGACCTCTAAGCTTAGAAGAGTTTCCCAAGGTTTAAGACGTGTGCCTTCAGGGGAATTGCAAGGCTGGTCCTACAGTCTCTTAAAAACTGAAGGTTTAAACTGGTGGCAGTAGTTCCTCCCCTTTTTTTCTCTCTCTACAAATAGTAGTTTATTTTCCCCCAAGGACAGATATTCTGCCCAGATATTGGAAAAGCTGCAGGAAAATGAGTAGAGGAGAAACATTTCCTCACAGTTCCAAGGAACTGGAGGTTGCACAAATAACACTCTGAGCAATGTGAACTTTCATTCAGTTTGGGTTGGCTTTGAGATTGCTTGTTAGGGGACCATGTGGATACTTAGCTGTGTCCTTTTTTTTCTCTCTCTTACCTCTTCCATTGTCCACTTTTTATCATTATATTTCTGTCCGAAACTTGCACAACCAGAAGAATGTCCTGGATGTTTGTTGAGATTGCAATTCCCAACCCATTTATTCTCCTCAGATCTCACTGAAAACCAGACTCTCTGGGGGTCAGCCCTTGAAATATGTAATTCTGAAAACTTCTCAGGTGAGTCTCATACTCAAGTAAGCTTAGGAAACACCATTTTGCCATTTATTGCCTACATGCTTGTTTAGGCATTTCTCCTTAAGAGTGTCTGCATTGCAGACTATGGTCAGAGACTATATATTTGCTTTCCCAAGAGATAAATTCCTGGACAGACTCAAAGTAAGGAAGGCATGGGGTAGACCCAAGATTGTCACGAAGAGTTTTGGAGGTGATTATAAGGTGCCATTGTAGACCTCACAATAGTATCATTCACTAAAGATCTGTGATCATCTCTATTGTACCCAGCCCTAGTCCTATCCTGCAGCTCCCAAAGATTGGAAATCATCCAGATCATGAATCAGAGCTGTAGAATCATGCTTTTGGAATGGTCTGAAGACTTTTGAGCTAATTGGATGCAGCACCAAGTCATGTTAGCCTTGCTCTCCCAATAAATGTTCCAGCTAAGTGGTCACACATGTTTGTGGCTTCAATGAGGTAGGCACCAGGAAGAAGGAATTATATATATTATGGGTTAGGAAGGTGAATCTATAATGGCAGAATTGGAGGGAGGCCAGAACACATTAGCATTCTCTTCCCAGTGTTCTTATAGAAGAAAAATTCACTTTATAAAACCAATATGCATTATCCGTTTGTTATAGGTTGGAAGCCAAATTCCACTCTTGAGTACACACAGGTCCAATGTGAAATCTGGCCTCCTAGTGCCTTTGAAGGCAATCTTATTATGTAATGAGTTCAAAGCCATTTGCAAATGAATAACTTGGAGGTGAATTTTCACCTTGACAAGCAAATACTAGAGAGCAAAACCTCTCATTCCCATGCACTTGGTACATTTCATCTGGAATTCAGTGTTGTTTATAAGTAACGAGCATTTTACTATAATACTCATCTCTGTACACAAACAGGTCACCCCAGGAAGAGAAATTAAAGCAACAACATCTGCTTTAAGGGACTGAACCCTGTTCAAAAGAGTCTTGATCCTAATCTCCCTCATCTATCAGGGTTAAAGTGAGAAAGCTTTTAGTTTGTTTTTCTTGTATTGAACCTTCAAGACATTCTGTGCCAGAGTGAGCAAGGAGAATGCAGAGTGAACCTAGGTCATGAATTGTTCACATGTGAAAAGGCACCTGACTTAGGTGATGGTTTTGCTCTTTGCAAACATTTATATATGAGAGCACCCTTTTTCAGGAAAGGATACCAAATAGCTTCATTAAGCAAACTTGGTTATAATGCAATAAATACATATGAAGCATGAAATGCCTTCTAAAATCCCTTCTTGATGAGGACATGAATTGTACATTATGAGCACCCCAGAAGTTCTTAGTATCATGCCTATATTTATAGAATTATGAAGACAAATGTGATGGCCTGAGAAAATAACTTTTTTTTGCCATAGTAATATGAACAGGAATGAAATTTTTTTCTATGTACAGAAAATATGATTATAAAAGCTGTAGATAAGCCATAACCTTATAGTTTGAAAGTATTGCCAGTTTTCCACTATAAATGACTCATTTTCTGTGGTTTATAATTGTTGCCATACACAATTTGCTCCAGGCTAACATACTTGCTCTATTTCATTAAAAGGTTTTAGTTTCAATTGATTCAGTAATGAACTGATATAAAAATGAGAAAGTTGGTTGTTCTGATATGAGGCTTTGTAAATCTGAGGCTTTGTTCTAATCTATATTAACTGACCACTTTAGGGTATATAAAGAAAAGAACCCTCTCCACAAGAGGCTAATTGAAAAGGGTATACTTCAATTATTGCAGCCATTCCTTTTTATGAGGAATTTCACTACGGATGTGTGAAATGGTCTACCAAAAGCCTGAGGTTTGGGCAAGTGCTTATAGGCAACCCTGGGAAGGTTCCAGGGGACCTGGTTCATAGAATGGTACTCTGTTTCTAACCTCAGCTGTAGAGTTTTAAGCTTGAACTTGACATCTTGCAAAAAAAATCAACTCTGTATTAATTAAAGTAATTTTTGTAGCTTACGGCTACATATATGAGTTTTATTTTCAAATGCACAAAGCAATGTAGCATTTATTGGCCACATGAATGCATTATCCAATAACATTATGCACTGTTATGAAATTACATGAAAATTAATTATGTGGGCTCTCTGAGTCCTTTCTAAGCAAAAATACAGACCTTCATCCAAGGGTTCAATCTAAAGTGAGAGTCAGATGCTATATGAAGCTGCATTTTGACTTGGATAAAGGTCCCATGGTACCTTTTGCAACAATAGGGTGGAAATTGACTGGGCCAATTTCAAATTGGTGTAATCCCATTTTCTCATTTGCCTAACATTTTCTCTGCCATTCCAATTGGAAGAGAAGGTCACTTGCTAGCTCTGAGGGTTTTAGAATATTACGGAGTAATACTCTAAATTAATTGGTGAGACATTTGGCACACACCAGCCCTGATATACTTGCTAGTCAGTGGTAATGTATAATGACAATTGATTCTGTTATTGAAATTTTTAATGTAAAATGATTTACCAAATCCAATTTAAAAGTTTCATTACAAATACAACCCTAATTTCATCAATTAGTTGGATAAAGGGCCCATTCAAAAAAAAGTATCCCACTAGAAAAGAAAAAGAAACATTCTAAAATGTGTAGTTATGTACGAGAAATTAATGTGTTAATGGGGTGGAGGATTGAAGATGGGGATCTGTTTAGCACTTTTAGTCATGGAAAATACTTATTCAATTAAAATAAACCTAGCATCAGCTCTAAAAATACTAAAATTATAATTTCAAGTGGCCATGACTACTAAGAACAAGTTCTTTACATGAAGGAAACAAAAATGCATGTCTTCTGGCAAGGCTGCTTTTGTTGAGACAGCTCTGCCACCACCCTCATGACCACTGCCATGAGGAGCTACACAAACACAAACAGGCATTAGTTAGGTGGTCTCAATGGCAGCATGAACTGAAATGGAATAGCAATGGGATGGAGATGGTTTCTGCACCTGTGAGCTGGAAGTCATCACCTGTTCCACTGTGGCAGTTGGCCTGGTCATCATCACATTCATCCACCAGGTTCGCATTGGGAGTGGTCGGTCCAGCTGTAGGTGCTGAAACAAGATCCAAGGATTAGTACCTCACTTCTGAAATGTATTCTTAAACCTCTTGCTGTTGAATCTACTAACATTTTGTAGGAAACTCAAATCTGTGGCAAGGAGGCCAGGAGCATGGTTCATTTCTTTCAGGAACTAAATAGACTTGAATTTTGCAGTGTCCACTGGGGACTGCTTTGTTTTGGTAGTTGATCCATATCTACTAAATGGAATTGAGTGCATTAGCATTTTCTTATTGTTAGCTACATAAACATCCTTTTCCTGAAAGTTCTTGAATTCTCACTAGTTATTTATTCATGATCCAAGAGTTGAGAACTTTTATTTCACATGTATTGAATGAACTGTTTTTCCTTTCATATTCAAGGTGTTGGAGAACTCCCTTGTCATGAATTCTTTAAAAAAAAATATATATTTTATTGTTTTTTTTTTACAAAGAGGAAGGGAGAGGAATAGAGAGTTAGAAACATTGATGAGAGAGAAGCATCAATTAGCTGCCTCCTGCACACTCCCTACTGGGTATGTACTGCAACCAAGGTACATGCCCTTGACCGGAATCGAATCTGGGACCCTTGAGTCCGCAGGCCGATGCTCTATCCATTGAGCCAAACCAGTTAGAGCATGAATTGTTTTATATTCTTAGTACTTACTAAATTTGCTAAGTCCATATTATATTTTCCCCCCCAAAGAGATCCCCAACACATTCAGTTTTAGTACAATATTGTTCTTTTTTGTGCTCTTTAAAGAGTAACTATTTCCATAAATTTATGGTCCCTCTCCAGATCAGGTCCCTCTGAGAGGATTTTTCTGATATATCCTGGGGTCATTTTACCTTAACTCCCAGAGGATGGCATTCTATTGCTGGCACGTATTCCCATACCTTTGAGTTTGTAAATGAAAGGTATCTAACATTAATCAAAGTCCACTTTTAAAGTTTTTTAAATTTAGTTCACTCTATTTTTTTCTGGCTTGTTATTCATTTTTTGCAAACTGTTTACTATTTTACAGTTTGGGGCATACATCTCACTTTATGAGGCTGGAGATGTTTGAGAATCAGACAAGAATGGGGGCATGCTCTCTAATAGCTTCTAGCCAGTAGAAATGTGCTGGTAACTGATGCTTTCTCAATAAAAATTTGACATTGTTATCATGCTTAAATACTGAACAGAGTTATGATCAATGTAAAATGTAGCTAGTTTCAACTTCTACAGCTGTCCAAAAGCACACACCAACAGTAACGTGGAAATCAGCATGTACAGATATTGTGCATGCTATTTAGGCATACAGTCTACACTTAAAAAAACATTTAAAAATATAGTTTATTGATATTTTACAGATAGGAAGGGAAAGGGATAGAGAGCTAGAAACATTGATGAAAGAGAAACATTGATCAGCTGCCTCCTGCAAACCCCCTACTGGGGATATGCCCACAACCATTGTACATGCCCTTAACCAGAATTGAACCTGGGACCCTTCAGTCCACAGACCAACCCTCTATCCACTGAGCCAAACTGGCTTTAGCTTTTTGGTTGATCTCTTAACTTCCCTGCCTTTTCTCTGAAGTTTGAATAGTTCTGTTCAAAGCTTCTCTGTCTCTGATCAATTTTAGTTCATCAGTTTATGTTATTCATTATATTCCACAAGTGAGTGTGATCATGTGATATTTATCTTTCTCTGACTGAGTTATTTTGCTTAGAATAATGCATTCCAGGGCCATTCATTCTGTTGCAAATGGTAAGAGTTCTTTCTTTTTTATAGCAGCATAGTATTTCGTTTTGTAAATGTACCACCATTTTTTTAAAATTCACTCATCTGCTGATGGGCACTTATGCTGTTTCCAAAGCGTAGCTATTGTAAATTGTGCTACTATGAACATAGGGTGCATATATCCTTTCTGATTGGTGTAATTTATTTCTTGGAATATATGTCTAAAGTGGGATTACTAGGTCAAATTTTTAATTTTTTGAGGAAACTCCATGCTGTTTTCCACAGTGATTGAACCAGTTTGCATTCCTACCAACAGTGAACAAGAGTGCCCTTTTCTCCACATCCTCGCCATCACTTGTCATTTGTTGATGATAGCCATTCTGACAGGTATGAAATGGTACTTCATTGCTGTTTTAATTTGCATTTCTGGGATGATTAGTGACTTGAGCATATTTTCATATGTCTCTTTGCCTTCTTTATGTCCTCTTTTGAAAAGTGTCTATTTAGACCTTTTGCTCATTTGTTAATTGGACTGTTCATCTTCCCTTTCTTAAGATGTATGCGTTTCCTATAAATTTTGGAGATTAAGTCCTGATCTGATATAACATTGGCAAATATGTTTTCCCTTGCAGTAGGCTTTCTTGTTATTTTCTTGATAGTTTATTTTGCTGTGCAGAAGCTTTTTACTTTGATGCAGTCTCATTTGTTTATTTTCTCTTTAGTTTTCATTGCCCTACGAGCTGTATTAGTAAAGATGATGCTTTGGTATCATATGTCTGGTATTTTGCTGCCTATGAATTTTTCTAGGATTTTGATGGTTTCCCATCTTACATTTATGTCCTTTATCCATTTTGAGTTTATTTTTGTGTATGGTGTAAGTTGGTGGTCTAGTTTCATTTTTTTCATGTATCAATTAAATTTTCCCAACACCATTTATTGAAAAGACTATCCTGACTCCCATGGTATGGTCTTGCCTCCTTTGTCAAATATTAATTGAGCAAAGTAGGTTGGGCTGGTTGCTGGGTTCTCTGTTCTGTTCCATTGGTCTATATGTCTGTTCTTGAGCTAGTATCAATCAGTTTTCAGAACTGTAGTTTGGTAATATAGTTTGATATCTGGTATTGTGATCCCTCCAACTTTATTCTTCTCTATCAAGGTTGCTATGGCTATTTGTGGTCTTTTTTTATTCCAGATGGATTTTAGGAGAGTTTATTCTAGGTCTGTGAAATATACCATTAGCATTTTAATGGGGATTGCATAAATCTATAGATTGCTTTGGGTTGTATGGATATTTTAATGATGTTGATTCTACCAATCCATGAACACAGGATGTTCTTCCATTTGTTTATGTCTTCCTCTATCTCTTCTTTCAATGTCCTATGGTTTTCTGAGTACAGGTCTTTTACCTCCTTAGTTAAGTTTATTTCTTGGTATCTTAATTTTTTTGGTGTGATGGTAAATGGGATTGTTTTTGTTGTTTTTCTTTCTGTGAGTTCGTTATTGGTGTATAAAAAAGGCCAGACTTCTGGATGTTAATTTTGTATTCTGCTACATTGCCAAATTCATTTATTAAATCTAGCAGCTTTTTTTTTTTTTAAATAAGATCTTTAGGGTTTTCTATGTATAGTATCATGTCATCTGTGAATAATGACAGTTTTACTTCTTTTCCAATTTGGATGCCTTTTATTTCTTCTTCTTGTGTAATTGCTATGGCTAGCACTCCCAGTAATATGTCTAACAAGATTGTTGTGGCTATTTGAGGTCTTTTGAAGTTCCCTAGAATTATTTGTTCTAATTCTGTAAAAAATTCCATTGGTATTTTAAAAGAGATTGCACTAAATCTATAGATTGCTTCAGGAGTATGCTTTTACAATAAATATTGGATGGATTAACATTGAGGTCAAGGAATAAATAAAAAGAAATTGGTAGCTTTTTATTTTATTTTTAATTTGCTTTAATTGATTGCAGAGAAAGGAAAGGAAAGGGGAAGAAACATCAATGATGTGAGAGAAACATCAATTAGCTTCCTTCTGCATGCCCCCCAATGGGAATTGATCCCACACCGAGGCATGTACCCAGACCTAGGAATCAAACCATGACCTCCTTGTTCATGGGTTGGTGCTCAACCACTGAGATACACCAGCTGAGCTTGGTTGTATTTTTACACACCAATAACAAACTATCAGAAAGAAAAGATAAGAAAATAATCCCATGTGAAACTGCATCCAAAAACAAAAACAAAAAAACAAAAAAACACCCTTGGAATTAATTTAACCAAGGGGATAAAAGACCTTTACTTGGAAAATCAGAAGATTGTAAAGAAATTAAAGGAGATACAAATAAATGGCAGGCTATACCATGTCATGGATAAGAAGAAGCAATATTGTTAAAATTGCCATACTCATTTAGCTTTTTCTCATCTGGAAGCACTTTATTTCTTCTTCAGTTTTCAATTATAGCCTTTCTGGGAAGTGCATAGTCTTGGTTATAGGTCTTTTGTTTTCATCACTTTGAATATTTCATGCCAATCTTTTCTGGTCTGAAATGCTTTTTTTGAGAAACAGCTGATATTCATATTGGAATTCCCTTGTAGGTAACTGACTATCTTTCTCTTGCTGTTTTTAAGATTCTCTCTTTATCCTTAATCTTTGCCATTTTATTTTATTTTATTTTATTTTTAATATATTTTATTGATTTTTTACAGAGAGGAAGGGAGAAAGTTAGAGAGCTAGAAACATTGATGAGAGAGAAACATCGACCAGCTGCCTCTTGCACACCCACAAACGGGGATGTGCCCACAACCAATGTACATGCCCTTGACCGGAATCGAACCTGGGACGTTTCAGTCCGCTGGCTGACACTCTATTGCTGAGCCAAACCGGTTTCAGCAGCTTTGCCATTTTTAATTATGATGTGTCTTTGTGTGGGCCTCTTTGGATTTTTTTCCTTCACTAGGTTAGGAAAGTTTTTATCCATCATTTCTTCAAATAGGTTCTCAATCCCTTAATCTTTGTTCTCCTTCTGGTAGCCTTATGAAGTAGTGTTGTTACATTTCATGTTGTCTCAACGGTTCTTTAAACTATGCTCATTTTTAAAAAAATCTTTTTTCTCTTTGCTGCTCTGATTGGCTGTTTTCTGCTACCTTGTCTTCCAAATCACTGATTTGATCCTCTGCTCATGTTTATTCCTTTGTAGTATATTCTTCATTTAAGATATTATGCTCTTCATTTGTTATTTTTTCTTCATGCTGTAGAAGTTCTCAATATATTCCTTCAAGTTATTATTAAGTTCCT